TGTGACATGAGAGAGTGGTAGCTAACACTATGGTAGTAGTGACATTGCAATGTACAAATGTATCAAATCAACACGTTGTATATAACTTAACCTTGTAAAGTAGTATATCGATTACAGCTACTTAACCTTGTAAAGTAGTATATCGATTACAGCTCAATAAAAAGAAAAAAGTTTGACAAGCAGTTGAGATCTCATGCATTTGAAAGCAGTCGTGTGCGAAAGACATGGAGACATCACAGAAGCTATAAGGAAGCAGCAGTTTCCCCGTTGATAAGAGTCCAACAAATCAAATCCACATGTTATTTACATTTGTTTGGCCCAGAGAACTGTTGGCTCCCTATAGATATCAAGATAGACGAATAATCTGGTAGTGATGTGATTTCATTTGGAGCATGTTTCATGTTCTTAAGCTAAGAGGTGACTATGGGAAAGGTCTAGAAGCAGGTATTAAAGGGCTTGAGAAGCTTGCAGGAAGACAGGAGACGCAGCAGAGAGAAGCTCATTCACAGCAAGATTACAAAAGCAGGAGGGCTTTCCTAGCTTTTCAATAATGTGATAACGTTCCTATGAATGTAATTTATAGCCAGACTCCAGGCAAAGCTGGGAAGCTGAGTCTGTGGGTTTTCGAGAGGAACCCACAAACTCCACTCGGGAATTGTGTTGAGTTTGTGTTTCACGGTTGAGGTCGCTGCTCTCAGATTTCAAAACTGTGATGAGGTGGCAGCAACCCGGTTACAAGCCCTGTGAATTAGGGAGGAATCTAGAGAATTTCCGAATCCCCACGTCCAAAACTGTGCAGAAGCAGGTGATTTTCTATGAGTTTTATGCTTGTTGAAGTGACATTGTCATGAGAGGGTGGCTGGACCTGAAATCAGGGCTGGAGGGATCAGAAGAGGGTGGGCCCAGCAGTTGGTGTTTGTTTTCATTCACAGACATACGTGGAACTGGGGAGTCGTTTTGCAAATGAGATGAAGTGGAAAGGGCAAACATCATCTTTTATTAAGGAAATGCTGTGATTCTAAATTAGTATTGGATGGGAAACTGGAGTCTGTGGCCAACGTAAAGGATCAAATCAAGTCTGGGGATGGGAAAAGGAAGGCTTCCTTTAGACCTTCCGATCTAGACAGACTTAGGAGTGTGGCGGAGAGTATTCCAGGGATAAGAACCATATGTGCAAATGTCCTGAGGCAGAAAGGAGCTTGGCTGGTTTTAGAAGAGAGAAGTTTGTCATGGCTAGAGCTTGTACACCGTACTAAGAACTAACAGAAGGTTCTCTGCCATGATGTGGGTGTGTCACAGAGAACAGTACAGATGAAATGTCTCTTCAGCGGCCACAAAATGTTGAAAAGGCCCTGGAAGGCTTAGGGACGATGCCACGGGAAATGAAAGCCCCCTCCTCTTTAGGGCTCAATCTCTTTCCCATCAGTGATGTGAGGTCACACTGAAATGAACACAGTGGACTTCAGTATATGGCTGGGTGGAAGAGCTTCTGGAACATTCCCCATTACCTACTCACCAATATCCAGCCCACATCCACTCTAAGCCCAGAGAGAATACATTCTTCCTATGTTTTCCCTTCTTCCTTTCTTTTCTCCCTCTGTTTTTTCTCTTCCTTCTGTCCCATTCTCCCAATTTCTCCTTATTCCGTCCATCTTCTATTTTTAGCACCTTTATTGAGGTATGATTCACATACAATAAACTCTGCATATTGATCTGTACATACACTCCTGAAGCCATCACTGCAGTCAAGCTGGGAAGCACATTCATCACCCCCACAATTTTCCTCCGGCCTCTTTGTAACCCATTCGCCTACTCTGCCCCATGCCTGGCAATTCACCAGATGTTCTTCTCACTGATGATGTGTTTGCCTTTCCTGGATTTTATACGAATGGAACACTACACTCTGCATCCTTTTTGGTCTGGTTTCTGTCATGCACTGTAATTATTTTGAGATTCATCCACGTTGCAGGTGACACTAGTTTACTCCTTTTTATTGTTACTAGTAGTCCTACTGTGTGGCTGTACCACCATTGGTTTATCCATTGCCATGTTGATGGACACTAGGATTGTTTTCAGATTTTGCATAGTACAAATAAAGCTGTAGGAACATTCATGTACCAAGAACAAATGCTTTCATTTCTTTGAGGCAAACACCTAGGAATGAAACGGCTGAATCATTTGGTAGGTGTATGTTTAACTTTTTTAAGAAACTGACAAACAGTTTTCCAAAGTGATTGAGCTGTTTCACATCTCTGCTCCTGCAACATATGAAAGTTCCAGTTTTTCCACATCCTCACCAGAACTGGATGTGGGCGCTCTTTTTATGTGAGCCATTCTAGTAGATGTGAAGTTGTATCTCCTTGTGATTTTAATTTGCACTTTTCAAGTAATAAATGATGTTAAGCATCTTTTTGTGTGTTATCTGCTCTTTGATGAAGTGTCTGTTTTAATCTTTTACCTATATTTTTTGAGGTATAGAAAATTTACAATGTTGTATTAATTTCTGGTGTACAGCATAGTGATTCAGTTACACACACACACACACACACACACACACATATATATATATAGGCTATTACAAGGTATTGAATATCATTTCCTGTGCTGGGAACTGTAGGACAGTAGGACCTCATTATCTATTTTATGGTTTTTGTTTTTTCATTATTCACTTCTGAGAGTCCATTATATACCAGATACACATCCTTCATCATATATCTGCTTCTGCAATTATTTTCACCCAGGAATATTTTGTCATTTTATTTTTGTCACAGCATCTTTCAAAGAAATGTTTGTGATATTTAAGAAGTCTAATTCATTATTAAAAAAAAAAGTCCTTTTGGTGTTATAACAAAGAAATCTTTGCTTAACACAAGATCACAAAGTTTTTCTCTTATGTTTTCATATAGATGTTTTATCATTTTAGACTTTACACTTAGATCTAGGGTCCATTTTGAATTAGTTTTTGCATATGGATCAAAATTCATTATTTTTATGCCACATGTGTGCCAGTCTGTTTCTGGACACCGTTCTGTTGCATTGACGTATTTTTCTTGCTTGATGCCAATACCACACTGTTTTGATTACCATCCAAGTTTTTAAGTCTTAAAATTGGTTCGTTTTAGCCCTCTAACTTTGCTCTTCTTTTTCAATGGTGTTTTGGCAATTCTAGATCCTCTGTATTTCCATACGAATTACATTAGAACCAGGGTGTCAATGTCCATAAGACAGCCTGCTGGGATTTTGATCAAGATTATTCTAAATCTGTAGATACATTTTGGGAGAACTGACACCTTAACAATACTGAACCTTCTGATTTCACAAACAAGGTATAACTCTCCACTTATTTAGCTCTATTTAGATTTCATGCAGAAATATTTGTTTAATTTTCAGTGAACAGCTTTTTATCAGATTTATCACTGATTAATCAGTTAATTAATTACTTTGATGTTAGTATATACACTGCTTTTTTAAACTTTTAAATATTTTATTATTCATTACTAGTATACAGAAGTACAATTGATTTTGATTTTTTAATATTATCTTGTCCCATAAATGTGTTTAACTCACTTATTAGTCCTAGTAGCTTTTTCTGTAGATTGCATCAAATTTTCTTCATAGGTAGTCACGTCATCTGCTAAGGAAAATCACTTTGCTTCTTTCTTTCCAAAACAGATGCACTGCCTAGAAGCTTCCATACAATGCTGAATAGAGGTCATGAGACTGGGCATCCTTGTCTTTTTCCAGATCTCAGCAGAAGAGCATCAGTTCTTCACTAATCAGTATGAGATAAGCTTATAAGTTTTTGGAGATGTTTTTTACTAAGTTGAAGAAGTTCCTTTCTATTCCTAGTTTGCTGAAATTTTATCAGGAATGGATGTTAGATTTTGTCAAAATGATTTTTTTTTGCATCACTTTCCTTTCTCATTTATTAGTATGGTAAATTACACTGATAGATTTTCAAATGTTAAACCATCCCTACATTCCTGGGTGAGCCTCAGTTGGCCATGATGTATCATCCTTTTGTATGTTGCTGATTTTGATTTTTTCCCCTAAAATTTTGTTTAGACTCCTTGCGTCTTGTTTTGTGAGGAATATTGGCCTGTGGGTTTTTTTTTCTTGTCATGTCTATGCATGAATTGGTATCAGGGTGACACTGGCCTCTAAGAATGAGTTAGGAAGTGTTTCCTCCTCTTCAATTTTCTGGAAGTGTTCGTATTATTTCTTTTTTGGTGGATTTCACTAGGAAGCTATCTGAAGCTGGAGGGGCTTTGTGGGGTGGTTCTTCATGACAAATTAAATGACTTTAATAGATATAGAGGTCTGCAGAATATCCATTCTTCTTCTTGGAGGAGATTTGACACTTAGTGCACTATGATGCTCTATAAAAATTTGGATGTAGGAAAGAATGGATGAATGAAAAACTGAAGGAACAAACAGTTCACTGTTTGGAGGGACTGATTAGGTATGTGTCTGGGCCAAAGTGCTACCTCATCCAAAGATGGGAGAAGACACCTCTGGGCTGCAGGTGCTTTCTGAGCTAGAGAAGCGGGTGCCTACTGGGTAGAAGTCAGAGGGTCAGAGTGAGAACTGTTTGAGGGCCCTTCAGCACAGGACCCTATCCCATTCCTGGGGTGCCCTGCACCCACCAGCAGACAGGGCCTCTGGGTGCCTCTCAGTTATTGGGAATATTCATCTGGTGCTCAGTCCATAGTGACCAAAGCTCTCATGGGAACAGTGACCCTATCGGTTGTGGAGTCTCTTTGAGAGTGTCAGGCCTCCCACCCTTTACACAAACCCCCTCTCTCTGGGGAGTAAATCAGCATCCTCAACCTTGCAAGTTCCCTGCTAAATTTTCCAGTCATGATAAAGCCTCTGGTGATGGGCAATACAGGTAGAGAGATGCCCCAAGTATGGCAATGAATGCTATATTTGCCTCTGAGCCTAAGGTACCCTGCTTTTCTAACATCAAGATAGAGTGGACTGGACAAGATAGAGTGAAGTGTGTGTGTGTGTGAGAGAGAGAGAGAGTGTGTGTGTGTGTCTGCATGTGCACCTGTGTGTAGGTTTTTTGGGATTTCAGGGAGAAGGTTTCTCTTCCAATCCAAGGAACTGGTAAATAGCCAACAGCTCCAGCCTGTCTCTAGGTGTAAGTTTCTTTGTTCCAAGATTCTTATAAAGGAGTGAGGCTTCCTGGCCAAGACTCCGCCTGAATATTGGCTCAAGTCTGTAACCCTGTGATGCACAATCGCCAAAATCGTCATTGTTTAAGGAAACTAATCCGTAATGGATTTCTGAAGTGGTTACAACCAGCTTTTTATTATTAAAGAAACCAAAGCCAATAGTTTCTCTTTACAGCATGTATGGAGAAGAGAAATTTAAAAAAACAGCTCCCTGCTGAGATATCACCTCAAAATAAGGTCCATTCTGTGCCCCTACACACCTTGAGAGGAGGAATCCCAAAAAGGTGATGTCCGTTCCCTGTGCAGCTCTGCCTTGCACCATCACGCTCTGCTCTGCCTCGCTGACTCCATGGAGCAAATGAACTTCTGGGCTCAGACATTCTCTTTAAAAGACAAAGCCACAGACCTGGAGCCAGGGTTTGAAATGGGAAACTAACGTAATCTTTGGAAGAGATGGCAGTATCACCAGCTGGGCTTGCAGATACTTTCCTGTCTTGCAACATACATCCTTAGTTTGGCCAGAATTATTGTCCCCCAAATTCTTTGAAAGTGTCTCTTCCCATAAACAGAAGAAGAAGACAGTGTGTGTGTGCGCTAAGGTTTTTCTCCATTTGTAAGTGTCAACCACAGGGGACTTTGAATCCCATATGTCCCGTCAGAGCTTGACATGTAATTAGTTGAACATGAGGCTCCGACCAACACAACATAGATGTAAGAGAAGGTTTCAAAGCCACAGAGTCTCTCACGTAAATATTTCAAAATGTTCCCTCTCCTGTGTGCCCCCTCCCCATCCATAAATAAATAACATCACAATTGAAAGGATGAATTCAGTGGGGATTGAAAATGGATGGGCTCTGAGAGCCCCTTACTCCCACAACTCAAATGCTCTCCTTCCCTTGTTTCTGCAAGAATCAAAGTCCTTCGTCTTACTCATTGCCCTGCCCCACACAGTGCCTGACCTACATTAGGGGCTGGGCACTGTCAAATATATTAATTATTATTATTTTCTATTTTACCTTTTGAGACAACTGAATAATCTAGGATGAGCTGGAGTCACTGCATCCATGATGTATCTTAAATTCTCTTATTTCCCTCACAACAAGCATTTGTTTGGGTACCAGAGTATATCCCTCTAGCACTGAATTCAATCCTTTTATTTTGTTCTTCTTTCTATGCAATAGTTTCTTCTTCTGTAAAATGGAAATTCCCCTCCACTTTCCCCTGTGAAATGTGGAGAGAAGTGTGGAAAACGTGACAGTGCCGACATGGGACTCTTCCTGCTAGATGCATTCAGGATAAGCACTTTAGAGAGAAGGGTCCAGCAGAGAATCCTCCGGTCTCTTCCATTCCATCTCAGATGTCTTCCTAGGAGATGGACTCTGCCTCCTCCCTGGCTCCTGTCTCTTTATCCTTCTTCTCTCTCCTTATTTCCTTCCTTCCTTCCATCCATCCTTCCATCCATCCTTTCCTAACTCATTTGCTTCCCAGCAGGTTTACCATCCTAATACCTAGCTCTGTAATGCCAGTCTTTTGCATGAATCCTTTAACAGTGTCTCCCAACTTCTTTCACCCTATTACGTGGCATTGAAACTTTGCAGTTGGGCATTTGAGTCCTTCCACTGTTTGGTTTCAACTTGTCATCTTTTAGAAGATGCTTAAGGGTGGAAAGTTGAGGGTTTCTCCATATCAGAGCATGTAAGGAAGCCATATATAAAGGGGAAGGGGGCATGGTGCCAGCATGTAGAAGAAAGAATTCAGAAGACAGTTGGGTGGCAAACCATCTATCCAAGGCCTCCCTGTTCCCCTACATTCTCCTCACCCTTCCTGGGCTCCTGGGATCGAGCCTAGGTCACTTCATTCCTGACTGTACCCAGCTCTTCGAGTCTTGACCTGTCTGCATGACTGCCCATGAGATTTTCTCCCCTCTTCCTAGAAAAAACATTCCTTCACTCAATCCTGATGGAAATCCCACCAGCATACAAGGTGCACGCTGCCTAACTTCTTGCATCCTTCCCTTACTCTCTCTGATATGTTGGGATTTCTTTCCCTGAACCACAATAGCATTCCTCTGTCTTTTCTGTTCCGATTCAAGCAAATGCAGTGACAACCCATGCTGCGGGATGCGGGAGTGAGCTCTCAGACAGGAGGGGGATGAGACGTGGGGCACAGAAACTGCAGAGCCAGGAGGTGCAGATCAGAGGAAGATGATGCTCACAGCTCTAACCACTACAACATCCTCCCTCCCACCTACTGTGATTTTGCAAGCAGGCTATTGGGGCTGACCAGTGAACTCACGTGGACGTGGAATGAATGCAGCATATTTCATAGTAGCCAAAGCTGTCCTATTTTATTTTGAAGGACTGTATGGATTGCTTCTGCAGAGCTCCTGACTAATGTCAAGAGCATCAAATCTGACCCTGGAGACGACAAAGAAGCAGAATCTCAGGGCATCTCTGAGCCAGGCTGCCTGGGCTCAGGTCCAAGCTCTCCCAGGATTTGCTGATGATCTGGGCAGGGGGCTTACCCTTCCTGGGCCTCAGTCTTCATCTGTAAAATCACTATGTCATGTACCCCACACTCTGTTATGAGGGCTAAGTAAGTGATTATGTAAATGCTCAGGATAACTCTCCAAATATTGATCACCACTCTCAGATCAGATCCAAAGCCATCGGAGTCCAGCAGAGCCAGGACGACCCCTTCACAGTGTAATCCGAGTACTTTCCTCACGTTCTGTGAAACTCCATCAAACACAAGCGAAGCCACACTGAGCAACAGGCACCCTGTAAATAATTTCGCTTTGACTTTCTGCAAAATACAGACTGTGGTGCCAAACAACCTCACAAAAAGAATTTCCTAGGGAGTCTGTTTTCTTAACTTCTAAATAATAGCTTTGCATCGCCCAGGGGAATGTTATTTACATTTGCAAATTTGAGGCTTGTGAAAGAATTTGCCTTAATAGAATTTGAAAACTCAGCAAGTTTCTAGCTTTGTGCCCAGTTTTTTTTTTTTAAGTTTTTAAATTTCCTTCAGCTTCATACAAAGGGAACTCACATATCCAAATGTTTCAAACCACTCAGTACAGTAAATAACTTTCTAATCGTTAGATTTTTAAATCTCCCTCTGCCCTTGGGAGAGTCACATGCATTCTCTGCATCTTGGTGTTGTCAGCTCAAGTGGGGGAAACAGAACTTATTTCATGATTTTTATGAATCCTAAAAGACACTGAAAAGGTACATGCTATACTTGTCTTTAGATAAAAGGCTGAAAAAATAATGGTAGTTACTTTGGGGGGGGGTGGGGGGGATGTTACTACACGGTATGCACTTTATACATGCCCGTGAGATTATGGACTTCTCAAGAGGAAAAACCTTGAAGAAACAGTCAGAAATTTAGGCAGAGAGCCAGAGGGAGAACCAGGGGTGTGTTTCAAATGGGCTGGAGGAGAGGACACAATAATGGGATAAGGATGAAAAGCATCAAGTTCAATAGAAGAGAATATTGAGATAAAAATGGAGAAAGTCTCTTAGATTTGTTACACCTGACTTTGGCAACATTAAGTTGGCCTAAAGGTAAATTGGCGTAAAGTAAATTGGTCCACATTCAGATTGGAAAACAAGACTATTTGGTCAAACAACATCTGGCTCAAAAACAAACATCTAACTTCTGGGTAATTCTGGACACATTCAGATGCGTAGTTTTGTAAATCTTGCTTTTCAGAAACTTTCTCTCATGTCTTTAAATGTGGCTTAATTAATTTTTGGCTTGTTACTCCTGCCCTGTAGAACCTAAAGTAGTAAAACAATGGAACAAATCATGTCCAACGGTAGATTATCTGTGTCAACTGAGAAAACAAAAACAAATGCACAATGCAAGGGTTGTGAGGTAAGTATTATCTGGGGCAAAATGAGGACTATAGCCCGAGACACAGCCTCTCAGATAGTCTGAGGAACTGCTCCAAAGAGATAGGGGGAGATCAGTATGTATATGACTTTAGTGAAGGGGGTACGTGCAGTCAGGTACACATTTTGTCAGAGGGTCCCTGCTAGTCACGAGGAGCAGATGTCTCCATTAATGATTTTAGTGCTTTTCTAGATATGAGACAATGCAAGGAACTGGTCTCATAAAACCTTCTCCTGAAAACATCTAACCATCTGAAGGCCTATCTGCTACTTTTAACCAGAGCACAGAGTGCTTCAATCCTGATCTCAGCCCTGAGCTCCTTTCAGGGTGTGTTGAAGGTTAGCGACTGCAGTGGCTCGTGACTTCATCCTTGTAGAATCAGGTGGCGAATGACAATTTTTAGTCGGCATCTGGGACAATTACTTAGACAAGAAATAGTAAGTTACACCATTTAATTTTCATAGAAAATGTATGTAAAGCCATACTCCAAGGTGGGGCTGAGTGGTTGTCCCAGGGTGGGTGGGACTGCAGGAGTGGAAGGGCATTATCAACCTTGTTCTGTCGCTTGTCTGTGTTTTCTGATTTTTTTCTTTTTTTTTTTTTTTTAGTGAACTTGATTTCCTTTCATAATAGAAAAAAAAGACTAAATGTAAGAGAAAAAGATCTGGAACATTCAGAGATATTTAAAGAGTATTTTCCTTAAGAATATATTCAGTGTATTTGAAACCAATGTTACACAGCTTTTAGGAAGAAATTCTGGAGTCCAGGGTCTGGGAACTTGGGAACTGAAATGGAGGGATGAGCAAAGAAGGAGAGGCAGACAATGGATGAAGTCTGAAAATGACACACCGGGGTCTCTGATATGCCTCCTTGCCTCCCTCCTTTGTCATTTGGTGGAAACCATTGTCATTGCTGAGTATCCAAACATTTGGCT